AGACCGTCAAGGTCCACATTCCGTCTCCTCGTAAATGGAACAATTTCGGTCTTTTCCGGGTTGACAGAGAGACCGTGGCTACTGCACCATCTATCCACCTGTCCAAGAGTCCTCTGCATGAGCTCTTTTACGGTGCTCGGAAACTTCCCCACAATGACAATTGCGAGGTCGTCTGCGTATCCCTGTGTATACGCTCCATCCTCGTTTAGTGTACGAAGGAGCCCGTCTATCACCAGGCACCACAGTAGTGGAGACAGTACTCCACCCTGCGGACATCCTCTAGTGACCGATGAGCTCATCTCCGTAGTTCCGATCGAGGTTATGATGACCCTGCTTCCAAGCATGGCCCGGATCCATCTTACGATTGACCCGTCAATGCCAAAGCTTTCAGCAGCCTCACTAATGGAATCGAACGTGGTGTTGTTAAACGCACCCTCGATGTCCAAAAAGGCTCCCAGAGCTACCCCTCCAGCAGACATTCCCCTCTCCAGTCTACACACGAGACTGTGAAGAGCCGTCTCCGTGGACATGCCAGCTCTGTAAGCGTGTTGAAACGGGTGTAGTGGTCTAAGGACCAGCGCCCCGTTTCTTATGTATGCATCCACCAGCTTTTCTACCGCTTTTAAAAGAAACGATGATAGACTGATGGGCCTATAATCCTTTGCTGTGTCGTACTTAGTACGACCCGGCTTAGGTAAATACACAACTCTGACCCTTCTCCAGCTTATGGGGATGTACCCCAAAGCCACAGAGGCCCTAAAGAGGGGCAACAAGTGCAGAAGTAATGGTTCCAGGCCCTTTTGCAAAAGAGCCGGAAATATCCCATCAGGTCCTGCGCTCTTAAATGGGCTAAACGTATTGATAGCCCATCTCAGGGATCCCTCGGTAACAACCCCGGCAGCTACTCTCCAGTCGATCGGCCTTGCACCGACCCGGGTAGCACCTTCTGGCGGTTCCGAAGTTACATAGTCTCCAGAGCCTGGAAAGTGTGTTTCCAGGAGACATGTGAGGGCCTCACCCGCGTTAGATGTAAATCTGCCGCATGGAAGCCTCAGCGTCCCCACTTTTTGCCCTGGATCTTTCAAAAGGATCTTACGAAGTTTTTGAACTTCGGGAAGCCCTTCCATGTTGCCACAGAAAGTCCTCCACGATCCCCGTTTAGACCGTCGAATGTGGTCTTTATACCTGCGCTGTGCGAGTTTGTGATCCTCCCAGTCCGCAGGTAACTTAGTACGCATGGCCCTGTTAAAGAGCCTTCGAACCTCTTTACGAACTTTTTCAAGGTCCGAGTTCCACCAAGGTGTTCTCTTCATTCCCCGAACAGTTCGCAGCTTGCAGCTGTCTTCAAACGACGCCGTTATAGCGTCGCTTATCATTGCCGCCGCCTCTTCCACCTGCCCTGCTTTCCGGCAGAGCAAAGGTGGTTTATCCAACCGTTCTGTCAGTTTTTCAACATAGCAGTCCCAGTTGGTGGTTCGGGGATTCCGAAACCTACAGGGCCCACCATTGAATGACAGGTTTAGTTGGAAAAGAATGTGCCTGTGATCCGAAAGAGACGGTTCATCAGACACTCTCCAGTTTGAGATCATGTGAGCTATAGAGAAAGAGCCCAACGTTAGATCAATGACCTCCTGCCTCCGCGACGTAACGAAGGTGGGGGTTTCTCCCTGATTTAAAACATTCAAATCAGTTGTCTGCAAGTACTCCAGAATGTGTTCGCCCCTCGAGTTCGTGTCCGTGCTGCCCCACACAACGTGATGTGCATTTGCATCACAGCCAACCACAAGAGGGAGCCTTTCACTCCGACAGTGCTCTATCAACTCAGCTAGCTCCCTGGGAGGTGGAGCTTCTTCCGAGTCATATGGTAGATACGCTGAGCAGACTACTAATTGCCTGCTCCGTCCCTTTCCATCTTTCAGCTGAAGTCTTAGAGCCACAAGATCCCTAAAACAGAAATCAGCCATTAAATAAGACTCGATGCGTCTGTCGACATATATGCAAGTCCTGGTACTCAGTTGACTGTCCCTCTTATAATAAAGTGAGCCCTCAACCTGACTTAAGCCTCTTACTCGTCCCTTGTAAACCCAAGGTTCTTGTATGAGGCAAACGCCTGTCTGCCTTACAGAAAGTTGGCGGCCTATTAAGCAGGTCGCCCCCTTACTGTGTTGCAAATTGCTCTGTAAGAAGGTTACCTTGTCCATCACCGATGTACTTAGGCTCCCCCCTCCTCTAAAGATGCCGACGGCTCTGACCCCATCTCGGAGCCAAGGACCGCCACACGAGCCAACAGCTCGTCGACATCTTGTTCGACCTGCGAGGGCGCCAGTTCTAATTCCAACGCCTCGAGGTCTCCACCTAAGGGTTGGACCCCCTCCATTGCAGCGGAACTGGGTCCCGCTGCTCCGGCGGAGCCCTCTCCCTTTGCTTGCGCAGCCGGAGCACTCGCCTTCGTCACGAAAGTGACGTGGGAGACCCCCGCGTGCGCCTTAAGGTTCTGCCGCTGGAGTGCCCTGTAGGATGCCTCATCCACACCAAATGCGAGAAGCACCCTACCAGGCTCCTCCCTGCGAAAGAACGTCCTCCATAAGTTCGTCCTGAGCCCAGGATTTTGCCTATGGAGGCGCTTTAAAATGATGGCCGTGTCATCCGGGAGCCCGTGCAACACTGCCATCACCTTTACCACCTTTGGGACGTGCCTCTGTACTTTCAGAGACGCACCTTCCCAAGGCTTGATTAGAGAGACGGTCCTCTCCAGCCAGTCCAGAGTCCACTGGTCCTCGCACTCAGCCACAACGACCCCATGCGAGTTCCAGCGGAACCCGGCCAGCCTCGGAAAAGGCCCGACCTCCAAGTCGTCTACAGCCACATTTAGTGCAGCCATAATGCACCTCGACTGAGCCTCAGTGAGGTCCACCTCCGGGTACGACACCGGTAGGATAGCCACCTTGAGGCCCGCCGCAGCGACTTGCCCATAGGTCCGCGGTGCACCCGTGGGTGCCCCAGGACCTTTGGACTTCTTTTGAGGTTGCACCGAGCCAGACCCTGGAGTGCTACCCTCCGATCTGAGACGCTTGGTCCCAGACGTCGGTTCGCCTTCCTGAGCCACCGACCCAGTCGCAACCTTCGATTTTAGCACCTGACCCGGGGTTTTACCCTCGAGCCGCCGCTTCCTGGCCAACGCCTTTTGCGCCCCCGTCCTGTTCTTCTTACGGGACGGAGCTGGTCCAGGTCCTTGGGTGGAGCCCTGCTTTGGGGCTGTCCCCTCTTTCGAGGAGCCTGCCCCTACACAGGACCCCTGTTGTGGCCCTGGTTCATTGGTCCCCCCTGACGAGGAGCCCTGTAAAGGAAAATTATGTTTTGTATCCATATTGTTCCCACGAGTAATGCGGAAGAGCGGTATCACCTGCGCAGAGCCGCTTGCGCAGGGCTTGGCTACAATACCACTCGGAGGTCGCCCGGTATCCGAGGGGCACCGTTATCGACACTGCACCCCAGTGTCACGCAGTCCTCAGCACGGTAGCTAACACCTTGACTTGGGAGGTTGGTCCGCGGTAGCGACCTTCGTTGCTGCCAGTCTGGGTTTCAGCCCCGACGAGCAACTTATAATCGCTACTACCCACACAGAGACACTTGTCACCTTACGATCATTCAGGGCTTGCGTGGGCGTTCCCCTATCCGCCACCTGGGGACGCGCCCGATGGGTGTCTAACCTTATATCGGTTTTTTTGAGATTTAGAGAGAACTACGAGACCTGCAGACCCCACTTTACGCTTAACTTAAAGCTAATTAAATTATCTACAACGTCTATTTTATAAGTTCTACTCGTAGGATCAATAGTTTAGCCGCAATTTCGATCTAAAGAAGGTGTAAAACTCAAATGTTCACTTTTTGGAAAAAAATGACTATCTTCAAAGTGCCGTAATTCGGTAACTAATTGACCTACAGAGCTCGGGTTAGGCGCAAATTATTATACATTTAATACTCTTCAAAAACGTATATAATGACTTTCGTCGAAAAATGTATAGTTAAGGAAATATAACGCAAACACTGCAAAAAGTCCGAAAATGTCGCGGTTTTTCGTATACTACACTTTTTCCACAACTTTTAGAGAGTTGCAAACTTGAGTATACACTACTCTAATGGGTCCAAACAACATACTAAAAAATCAGAGATACATCATGTTTTGTTGATTTATTGTCGATTTTGACTGGCCTATGTAGCTTTAAATGCTTTTTCTTCATCTCGTGTTGGATTAGAACTAAGCGGAGCTGGTTTCTCTAGCTTCTTATCGATAACATCTAACGCTCCCTCATGATAATCAAGTAAATTACGAATTTTCCTTTTCCAAATTGGCCAATCTGACTCAACAGTCAATGGGTTAATGTGCTTTGATAAATCCATTATGCTGCTGATGTGTGGATTTAACAGCACTTCACAAATACACAATTCGAAACGGAAAAACACTAAAAACGAATGTCTGCGCCCATAACCTAATATATTTCAACGTTAAACTTTAATGAAATTGATATTATTGATTACAAGATTGAGCGTTATTATATGTGACAGTTACAGTAAAAATTCTAATCATTCTAAACTTTTAAATACGCCGCCTATTATTTTTATCTAACACTAACTTTAACCGACTTTAACAAAATTAACCAAAATCCTCTTACCTAAACGCGCACCTGCGACAACATCTGTTTACAAAATTAAATACCTTTTAGCCATAAGCGAAATTTGTTCCACGACAATGCGGCTAGTTAAACAAAAAATTAAACATCGTCCAAACTACGCAAAATAACACAACATTTTTCCCCCCTAAATTGAATCAAAAAATCAAAACAAAACACTATACTCAAATAGACCTACATCAATTTATCAAGACTAGGAAACACAAGGAAAAGTGTAATGAGAATACGAATTACAATAATGGACAATTAGAGTAATTGATGTCTTCTCCGATTCTAGCGTTATTATATGTTTTGTATTTACATTTTCAGTATTGTTTAATACAAGAATCGGGTGGAATCCGCACATTCCAGCCGCCAACGTACGAAGACCTCGACAAACACAGAATAATTGTGGTCACTCTTTCGACGTCCATGTATTTATCAAACATGGGTCTTCCCCAGGGGTACTTCACTCACATTCTTCTAGATGAGGCCGCGCAAACGATGGAATGCGAGGCGATCATGCCGCTGTCGCTCGCGAATCAGAACACTCGCATCGTACTCGCCGGCGATCACATGCAGCTCAGTCCCGAGCTCTTCTCCCACTTCGCGAAAGAGCGCAACCTCCACATTTCGCTACTGGAACGCCTGTACGACCACTACCCCTCCTCGTTCCCGTGTAAAATACTGCTGTGCGAGAACTATCGCGCGCACGAGGCGATAATCGAATTTACCTCCGAACTGTTTTACGATCAGAAACTGATAGGGAGCGGAAAACAGCCGAGGCATCAGGTCTTCTACCCGCTAACGTTCTTTACGGCGCGAGGTGAGTGACAGTCGCGAGGTTCTCATTTTTATTCCATTTGCAGGCGAAGACGTCCAGGATGTCAACTCGACGGCGTTTTACAACAATTCCGAGGCGTACGAGGTGGTCGAAAGGGTTTCCGAGCTGAAGCGACAGTGGCCGAAGTACTGGGGCGATTTCGACGAACACTCGATCGGCATAATGACCCCGTACGCCGACCAGGTGTTTCGTATACGAAGCGAATTGAGAAAGAGGAGGTTGGGGAGCATATCGGTTGAGAGAGTACTGAATGTGCAAGGGAAGCAGTTTCGTGCCATTTTCCTGTCGACAGTGCGTACGAGGCGAACGTGCGCGGGCGACACGAAAGACGAAAATGACTACGGTTTTCTGTCCAACTCGAAACTTTTAAACACTGCCATCACGCGAGCGCAGAGTCTGGTCGCGGTCGTCGGCGATCCGATCGCTTTGTGCTCGATCGGGCGTTGCAGTAAAATATGGGAGCAATTCATTCAAATATGCGACCAACACAAGAGCTTGCTGGGAATAACGTGGTCATTTCTTAAGAATCAACTCGACGGCCTCGAACTGAAAAAGACGTACGGCTTGAATCCTCTCGCGCCCGAATTCGTACCTCGGAAGTTCCAATCCGAATCCTACATAAAACTTCCTCCGACGTCGAATCCGACGTACCAACCGCCAATGGTCGGATATTCGATCACTAGGCCGCAGTTTGCCGTACCATTTTTCGTTTACCAATCGCCGGCGCCTCCTCACTTGTACAACGAATATCACGGCGTCAATATAGCCGCACTACCCGATCTCAAAAAATCGAGCGAATGGGGGACCTCAGTTATGCAATCCTCGACTGTGTCGGAATTGCCAGGTATGTATTTACGATAAAAAGCCGCGTTTTTATTTGGTTAAGAGCGCACGGGGGAACTTAATGATCTTAGTTTAGATTGTTACTGTTTTGAAGTCGGTAGGAAAATTACAGATGGCGCATATTGTTGTAAAATTCCTTGTTTTTATCTTGAGAATTCGCCGCGTCCTTCGAAGACGTCGATCGTCGCATAAATATGTAATGTCCAGATGTGCCTGTTAACTAGCCGTTTACTATTAGCAATCCGGAAAACAGTTCTTTGTTTATCACAATGATCAAGTTCGGTTTATTTAATTCCATTTTTCATTTGAAGAGCGATTCTCCGACTCGAAAATGTTCCTTCGCGTAAATTTTATCGTTTATAAATAAAAGACCTTGCTACGAATTGGGCTGGTTAGAAGTTCTGAAACAGGGCTTATATTTTCTAAACGCAACGAGCTAGACCTTTTTAAAGGAATATTAAACCTGCATTTTTGTCACGTGCCCGACATTAAACGGAACGGAACGAAACTCTTGGATTTGAAGAGATCGTGGCAACCACGCTAGCTTTCCCCAATACGTTTCTTTTTATCGCCAGACATACCTTCATTCACGTTTGCTATGAAGCGGTATATGTGTAAATTTCGATTACAAACCCAAAACCAATTTTTGGATTAAATTGCAAACTTTGTGTGTTTTAGCATAGAATTTAGGGAACACTAAAGTCCCCGTAATCACCCATATGATTTAATTTATGCAGCAGTTTTGAAATTGCAGGTTACCTTGAGGTAATCTGTACACCCTTATAATTTGTATGTTGTCACACATACCTGCTGCTTCAAAGTGCTGCAATGTCAAAAGGTAATAATAATAATACCTTTATTTGGTTACATATTGCACCCATATTATCAACTAAGTAAACAAAAACAATTACATATGAGTAAATTGGGAGAGCAATAGTAAAAGGACGAAGTTCAGAAAGTAAAGGATAACAATCACTTTTGATAAAAATGCACACTAGTCCATGCCCATGAAGGACAATGTTTCTTAATGAATGCCACCTCGGAGAAACTGTTTCCTCCAGATATTTTGCGGGCAGCGGCGATCGGCTTCTAAAGAACGATCTGAAAGCAGAATTACGTCACACGAGCACGGTAACGATTACCCAAACCGGAATGCAAGCAACAAAGCAGAAAGTAGCGGTATCTACAGGAAAGCACATGCAGGAAAACCAAACAATGTCCCTCCCTTATACATAATAAAACTCAAAGCAGCAAAAAACTTACTTTGCAATTAAACGGAGCGGTAAAAATTACTATGCAAGGTAAAACAAAAGCGGTAAATAAAAAAAAAATGCAAAATAAATTTACTGGAAGTATCAAAAATTAATACGGTACCTTTAAATGTCACTAGCAAAACACCAAAGGCAAAAGATCCTCTCTAAACAACACTTTACCTTTTATAAAATTCTGCTATTTCATGGAGGCATCGACGGCTTTTCCAACCGGCAGCGTTTTCAGTTATCTACATCCAAAAATTAAAACTTCGTAATTAATTGTGCGCCCTCCGAGCGTCTTTAAAATGTGTAATTGGTCTCAACATTTAAATTAATTTCTTTTGAGACCTCTCGCGACTTAATCGAATGCTATTTACTGCATCTCATTTAACAAGCTACCGCCAATTACACTTACTTAATTTGCGGCTAGTATTTTAAAATTAATCATTGAAACAAAAATCATTAATAACTATTTAACGGAACCACAGATATACGTTAAGAACAGATTGCTAACTAAAATGGAAATTTAGTAAACGCAGCTGTAATGCAAATAAGTATAACGGGTTGCCTACAAGTAGGAATAATTTAAGGAAATTAAATTTGCTTGAAATTTGCTCCAAAGTATTCATTTTCTCTGTTAGAGGACAGGGTACAACGAACGATTCAATAATCTACAGATTTCTCCTCTTTATATTGGTGGATTATGAGTACATCAACACGTTGGATACCCACAGGTATTCAGATCACTGACCCCTATTTTTATTTAGGTCAGTGGTGTAGATACGCAGTATTTCTCTGAACTAAGTACTTTTTAACTATTTATTTGGTGTTGAGTACGCGAATCAAGTGCAAATACTTATAGATTTATTCCTTTGCTATTTAATAGGTAGATAGGCAGTTGACGTAGTTGTATGTACGAGGATTGTGTAAAAAATAAGGTTCCTAAATTTTTTCAGGTATAATAAGGCATTTTTTATTTGAACTCCACCTTCGATATTCAAACTACAGTACTGATAACTGTTTGTCTTGGTAATATTATTACCCTAATAAAAACTCAACTTTCCTATGAAAAGGCCTAATTTATTTATACATGAAGATTATTTGTCGTGTATAATTCTTAACTTTGATTTGATATTGAAGAATATGGTCCATTAGCTGCTGAAATAGCAAACCCAGAGATCTATCTATCTCAAAAAGCCTTATTCCTCCAAAAGTTAGAAAAGATAAATGCGGAAATAAAAAATTTTATCATGATGTTATCATCAAGGGCCATTTTAAGGTTTCCACAGATAGCTGCAGGCCACATCACAAAAAAGTTTACATTAAGAAAATTTTGATTTTTTATTATTAACAAAAGGTGTATACAAAATAATAATACAATAAAACGAAAAAATAGAAATAATCATCAAATCATTAGTACCAGCTCAAGAAAATGTACACGTACAGTGTCCTACAGAATCTATCCAACTACGTTTGTTTCTAAGTTACAGGGTGAAAACGAAAAGTTTGACATTTTGGGAGGTATCATATCTTACTACCGATGTAAGATAGAAAAAAGATAACAACTGCGTATTTTAAATATTTTTACGTAGAATCCAGTGGCGTAGGCAAAAAACAATTTCTGTGATTCGACCCAAACTTGGAATTTTTTAATGCAACACCCTGTATATTTTAACGTCCATTTTTTGCATTCTTTTTCGTGATTACATTGATGTATCATTCTATATTTTTTATTTAATTATATATTCTATCATATTTCTCAAAATTTTGAAATGGCATATTTCTACCTTCAGCCATTTTTATTGATTGGTATCGAATGCCTTAGTTACCGTGGATACAATAAACAAAACAAAATCTCCATGAATTCATGGCATACTATTTGATTACAGTAAAAATAAGGTTTTAATTGATTTTCATTGCTAAAAAAAATATATACAGTTGTGTGATGCATAAATGTAATCAGGAAAAGGACTGCAAACAATTGACGTTAAGATATACAGGGTGTCACATATAAAAAAATGCCAACTTTGGGCCTCAGACCCTCGGAAACGGTGGTCTAAAAGTTTTTTTGCCTGCGTCGCTGGAGTCTACGTAACAGTATCTAAAATAAACAGTTTTTACCTATTTTCTATCTTACATGGATAGTGATATCATTCCAAAAAATTAAATATTTCGTTTTCAACTTTTCACTTTGTATCTCAGAAACAAACGTAGCTAGATTGATTTTGTTTGTGGTTTCACAAAAAAGTGGCACAGGGTCGCGAAAAATCGCAAACTTAACTATCTTTAAAAACAGCTGATTCTCAACCAAAATAGGACATGCGGTACAATTCAATTACATATTTCAATTTTATAATCTGCAAACATCGTGACGGGTCGCAGATTGTAGAACGGCGAGCCACAAGCGAAATGGGGGCCGCGTTTTTGACATGCCTGATTTACATCTTCAAAATCTACCGATTAAGGAATTACCCATGAACCTGTGGTTAAAATATCTTTTGCGGAACAATTAGGTTGTAAAAAGCCTATAAGAAATGGGTCAAATTCAATGACGCTGCAGGGTCACCCGAGATGCTCTGCCGCTTTTTTAGATCTGCTTTAGGGGTTTATTTTAATTGCCTCTTGCCAGAAATTGTGGATCCTTGAAACACACCAGAGCCTGTAGAAATCCCTACAGGAGTTATTAGGTTTGTTTTATTATTGAAACGGTTCAGATAATCCGAGATTAATCAGGCCCTAAATAAAACTACTTTTCTGGGTGTTCTGTGGGACTGAATAACTTATTGCTAATTTTGACAGTTTCAACGTACATATAGTATATTTTTTAATAATCAAAACTTAGCTCCTGTAGGACTCCTAGGCTAAACTTTGTTATCAAAAAACCATTCACATATCTAATGTGTTTTATTAAAATTTAAAATTTTTGTAAAAACCCTTGTACATTCAACCAACATGGTTTTTATACTTGCTCGAGATATTATACTCGCGCTAAACGAATAACGTTTTGAAATACAATAAATTCTTTTACCTATTTGAAATTTGTCATATATTCACATCGTAATATGATACTTTTATTACTTGAACGGTTTCTATACAGCGTGTCTTGCCCCACTATGCAGTACCGATGTTGTCAAATCCAAGGTTTTTCAAAATAAGATGCCATTAGCCAATGAACGCAAAATTATCAAAAAAAATTGTACAGGTTCTTGAATGTACACTTTATCGAGTTAAATGCTCATTTTTTCGTTTATTATCTTTGATTTCTATATCATTTCGTTCAAACGTTCTCTAAAAAACGCAAACTTATCGCTACATGGCTGATTTTTTGTGTAAACTATCCTGATACATAGTGAAGTAGAAGAAGTCATGTCTGTCAGTGAGATCCGTGGCTTAATGTTGGGAGGGGCGCTCAAATATGTCAAATGTTAATAAAACTGCCGATCTTCCGACTATATTTACTTCTGTCGCATTTATTTTGAATCTGACGCCAAAAATGGATGAGACTTTTTTGTACAGCTCATCAAGGCACTTCTTTTTTTATATGTAACATTTCTCGCTATGAAGCTTACTTTCTGAGAAAAGTGCAAATTTAGAAAAATTATGAAATGAAGAGTTTAACACACATTTAAAATTTCTCAAAATCTTAGAAACTCACAAATAAATTGTTATGAACTTTCTTGTAGAGTTTTTTGTGCCACCTTAGCCAGTGTTGCGAAAAGATTACAAACATTTTCTTTAAGCCGTTATGGCCCTTAAACTTTTAACACCCTCAAAAACTCTGAAGATGGTAACGGACCGAAACCAAAATAGGTCGTGTGGCATTCCCTATACAATTTTATAAACATTCCAAATTTCATAAAAATCGGTTCAGGCGTTTTTGAGTTATCGTGTTCACAAGAAACGAACCACATTCATACAGTTTAAAAGGGCCATAACAAAAATTCTTTTGTAATCATTTTTGCACACACTGACAAATGTGGCATACAAAACTCAACAAAAAAGTCAATTACAGTTTTCTTGTGAGTTTTTTAGTTTCTGAGAAATTCTAAATTGAAAAGTTAAAATATTTATTTTATAATTTTTTTTTAATTTGCACTTTTCTCGAAAAGTAAGCATCATAGCGAAAAATGTTAAATACAAAAAAGATGTACCTTGAAAAGCTGTACAAAAAAGGTTCATTGATTTTTTGCGTCGGATTCAAAATAAAGGCGCCAGAGGTAAATAAAGTTGGAAAATCGGCAGTTTTATTAAAATTTGACTTATTTGACCACCCCTCCCAACCTTAAGGCACGGGATTTCGCTGCCAGACATGACTTTTTCTACTTCACTATGTATCAGGATACTTTACACACTTTACATGTAGCGATAAGTCACTTTTTTCCGTAGCCAGCTCTCCGTATATTACCCATTTCTACTATTATGAGTCTAATCGCTTTTTCGTAAGTTTAATAGCAAAAGTGAGTTGTAGTAAATAAAAATTTATAAATAATTAAATATATCCGTCGTAACGAATATTGGCGTAGATAAGATAAGTGCAACCGAGTCGACTTCGATCATGCATTCCTTCTCCAGAAAAAGATAAAACATTACTTTTACAGTGACACCTAACGATAAAAGCATAGAAAATGTTTCAACCTTCTTCAAGAACCAAATACCTACTAAACTGTTTGTGGTAATAACATTCCTAAATAGAGGGCTCTTTTAAGGAGATAGGTCATTTAAATTAAGAGGATAAATATGTTAAGCAATTTATCCATTATGGTTAGCAATCTATTCTTTACGTATATCTGTGACGGAACAGAAATTCTAAAATATTAATTCGTCCTTGTGTTCTACATGGCAAACGGCGAATTAAATACAGCTTTTGTTTACAGTAATGCAGAATATTAATTTGGGAGGGCAGGGGGGGGGTCAACTTAACTGATCCGATATACATATTTTATGAAATAATGTTGTTGCGCCAACTGGAGCTAATAGTGTTAGTAAAAATACGCCATTTGCGCAAGTGCCTGGGAAACTATATACCACTTATTGTCTGCTTTTAGTAACGAATCGTCGCGAGCCATTGATATTCCAACAGCCCGAACGGGACCTGATACAATTCCTCGATAACGTCCACATTCCACCCGCGATAAAGGACAACGACTCCTTGCACGACCTCATGAACCTTTTACCGGAAAACATGTCGCTGGCCAACATGTTAACGCAACCGGCGACATTTCACAAACAGTGGTTCCAACACTTACTCAACAGGAAAGGCGCCGAGGCGGCGAAAAAGTTCGAGTACCTCATGCTGATGGCGACGAAGCGAGAGCGGGCGCACGTTCCCGACATAACCGTCAGAAACTGTCCTACCAGCATCGACTGGGAGACGTTATGCTCGGACATGTTAAAAAGCAAAATGGACGTGCACAACAACGGCACCGACTACATCAACGTCCCGTATTTGGAACAACAGACGCCCGATTTGAACTGGTTCGACAAGCCGGTGAATCAAATCAATTTTAACAAACCTGTGTATTTAAAAGATCCGGACGGCGTACAGCACAAGCCACACGACGATCACTCCCCGAACCTGTATTACACGAATCTCAGAAACGGAACGGTCATCGGACTACACAAAACCGAATCAGTACCTTTATACTTGCGGCAATCTTCATACAAAGGCAATTGAACGTGGTCTAGCACTACGGCCGGAGATTAAAAGTGTTACGAATCGCAGTCGCGATTTTTTTGTATTGTGTACAAAAAATTGTTAGTACGTTCCTGTTATTATTATTATTATCAATTGGTCATTTGAAATCGTGAACGTTACTATATTACACATAATTATATACATAGATTTTTGTAGAAGTGAATAGAGAAGATAAAACTTTTGTTTCAAAGAAATCAAGTGTGTAGATTCAAGGAAAGAAGAGAAGGGAATCTATAGATGTTATCTAGATTTTATAAATCTCATTGTTTTTCTGTATCGATCTTTGTTTTGGAATTTAATAAATTTTTTTTACAATTATTTACGCCTTAAAACAATTGCCAGTATTCTACTTTCAGGCGACCATGACGAGGATTCTGTTTACTTTGCAGCCGTCTTTATCGAGGTTCCTAGGTTGCGTGAGAAAAGTGCTCCACGCCATCAATGAATTTGATTGGTTGTTTAAAATTAGCATTATTCGCGGAAACAGGTTGTGTGCAGAGGAATGGTTGTCAATAAAAAAAATAAAGTAGTGGGAAAATCGAAGAGACAATGCGATTTGACCTGTGAACTAAGTCACGTCAACCTACTGTAATTCACCGTTGGGTGGATTTTATTTTGTGTTAGAATTAGTATTGAACTGTAAGAACCTGTTATTTAGCTCAGGGTGCGTTTTATTTGTGTTGAGTCGCAAGCAAACGTAAATCAGCCACCGGAAATTCATTGCAGGGTATATTTTATTGTTACTCGAATTCGCAGTGAGTCAGAAAAAAATTACGTGCGCCTATTCTATTCACAGGAAAGCCCCGTTCAGGCAGTACTTAGGCCTACCCCCTTTCTTTCGCTACTAGGTTTAGAGCCCGTTATTCTCAAAAAAGGATAGAACTGTAGTGTATTTAACCCCCAGGTTTACGCTAACTTCGCACTACAAGAACACGGAAATAAAGTCAACCCGGCAACGTTTAAAAATGGCCACCCGAATGACTATTCCCTCCAAAACTAAACAAGATCCCGCTTAGATTTGAAAAGTGGCACGTGATCAAACATCTAAGGCAGGGCCCCCTTACGTTAGTTGTAAACAACGCTTTGGCCTGAAGCACAATAGGGAAGGAACGTAAAATAAAACACTGAAATTGTGAAAAGTTTATTTAATAATGATCGTAATTATTATGATTGTAAAAGCTAGGAAATTTAAGTCGAAATATATTACATTGCACAAATAAACTTTGAAAATGGTAATTCCCCCAATAAAAATAGAAATAGGCTGGGAAAAAAGAACTTACCAATAAAAAAACCAACCGTCAAATTAATAAGGTCTCTACGCACTACAACGTTATCATACCATGACCGTAATAGGAACGTGACAGACAAAAAAATATTGTTTGCATGGAATAGTATGAGACTATGCCCGCTACACCGACCAGCACCGTAACGTGCCATGCACGGAGCGTCAACGAATATTTTGACGGTGCCGATACGCTCCGTGCATAGCACGCGACGGTCCCAAACCGGTGCGTGCAGGCGCAGAAATCATGAACATACGGAAGTACAATTGACATTTTTTTTTTGTCATCGACTAGGTCTAAATAATGCCCATTATTCTCGCTCGACTTTTCGTGTCGCACCCTGCCGCGTTTGTTTATAAGTACAACCGAGCGTACGGATACGACACGCGGATGCTAAGGTCACTATAACCGTTACGCACGGGTATGATACGTTGATTCGGTCTAGTGGGTATAGTATATCCGTATCGTATATTTTCCGTGCCTGATACGTATATAGTACGGTCATGATACGTAACGGTGTAGTGGGCTGATACCTTATATTGTGTTGTAAAATTAATTGTTTGTAATGATGTGAATGCGTAACATAAAATTATAAGATAACAAAAAGTAGCATGCAGACTTCAAGAGGGAACATACAGGTTAAAAACAAGTTTTGGGAATTATGGGTCAAGTAAGCAGATACCTAGATTCTAAGAAAGGGTGAAATATACAGGATGTGCCTCACCTTTGGTGCAATAAAGTCCTTTTGTTAAAAGCAAGATGGAAAATTACATATGGCCTTGTAGGCAAATTTAATTAAAACAAGATATGTCGAAATTACGAATGGTAACTCATTTATCGCACATAGATTCTAAACTGAAGAGTTTTGATTAGCATAATCTCGCCCCCGCAAACTAATATCCATGTACTTGTGGAAGTCTACGATATCTCAGGTTTAGACCACGTTTATCTCAGTTACATTGTGCACGGGTGTGTACCTATGTAGAACCTCGGCTTCCGTGAAGTAGGGCATGTAATGCTAGGTGTATTTATAGGTTAGAGTGACTCGTAACATTCGCGAATGTGTGTGCCTTGTTGTGTGTTAACTAATGTCTCCCTACCGTGAGAGGGAGCTCGGACGCTAGAATAGAAATGTATTCTAGAGCTAAGGCACGAAAGGATGCGAGAGCCCTCGAACCTCCAACTTTAGGGACGAAGTGCTGCTAACCGAAGGCCGTCCTACCCATGGGCGGCGACCCAACCCTTAATCATCTTCACTTTTGTGTCGTTACGTGGCCAAATGCCAGGGGAGTGTTACGAAGCACAGGTAGTAGTTCCGGAAGTCTGGGGTTTATACCAATGTCATTATGTGGAAACTGAACATAATTGGGGGTTCTACGAGCACACTGTGTATTGTCATAACTGCCTATTGTTACGTCACAACATGAATAATAGATCAGACATGTTTTTACAAACTTCATACCACTCTATTCGGTATAATATAATGATATGAATAACTAGTAAAGTGACTTATATCAATAAATGCATGAATGTGTTGCCCCTAACAATCTTAAGTGCGCTACGGGTTAATAGGCAAATATGCCAGCCCTAACAATATAGCCGTGAAACAGGAGGGCAATCAAGCGAAGACGCTGGCCCAAACCTAACGAATAACCAGGTTCACCACCCAATGACTAACTAAAAAGTGAGTTGCCTTCTAGTCGCGATTAAAGGAAAGTACATGACATGTTTATACTCTACGCGGTTCGAACACACGATCCCGCACGATGAAATAAATTGTGAATTACCAGTGATTTAGTAGTAGAAAATAGTGCGAAATAGGATTAAAGGTTAAATAGTGGGTGCAGTTATGTGAATAGACACAAATACGGACAAAACTCAATAGACTAAAGATAAGAGCGCGCGTACATAGACACGTAAGTGACGTAGTTAATCACAAACGGTGACGATAACGAACAATCGATTACACTTTGTTTACAAATACCGCATTTATCACATACATATACAAACAATTTTACTAACAAAATGGAAGGTATATTGGAGAAAATCAGTACCCAATTAGATGAGTTAAATAAAAGAACGGGGCGCATCGAGGGTAAGATGGATGAGTGTCAACGCCAGCTTGTAGAAATAAAAAAGGAAAACGCGAATCTCAAACAAGAAAATGAGCAGCTCAAACGAATCCTAAAGCAGCAAAGTTCAAGAATGGACTACCTTGAGAAAGAAAGTAAAAGAAATAATTTGGTGGTGTATGGAATATCCGAAAAGGAAAATGAGACCGTTTGCAACTAAAAGAAACAACGCAGAAAATTTTAAGAGACATCGATATGAATACTACGACGGGAGAGACAGAAATACAACAAGTCTATAGAATAGGGGCAAAACATCTGAATAAAGTTAGGCCAGTATTCATCAAACTGGCCCAGTACGAAACCAAAATAGAAGTACTGAAAAAGGCGAAAAACCTAAAAGGTACAAACATATACATACACGAAGATTTTCCAAAACACGTATTAGAGGAGAGGAAAGTATTAGCAACCCATTTAAGAACAGCAAGAGAGTCCGGTCATCGCGCATACCTGAAATACAACAAGCTCATTGTCAACGGAGAGGAGTATGGCGTAGAAGACATCACAAGCGCAGATGAGCAAGAGGACGAAGTTAACGAAGTACGGAAAAAACCAAGAACGAGAACCATTAGTCAAAGGTCACCCCAACCCACGTATTCCAAGAAGGCGTCTAGTATGGGTTGCTTACCAAAAAACTAACAGGCATACAACAGATCAGAACAAAGACGACGACAAATGCGTGGAAAAGGACAGCAAAAGAAACAACACAGAACCATACAAAATCGGAAATATGGAAACTTGGTACTTGGAACATACGAGCAATTAATGGAAAAGAGCACGAGCTAATTGAAGAATTTGAGAAGGCGGAGTTAGATGTACTGGCAGTGTCCGAAACAAAAAAGAAGGGACAAGGAGTCGTAGAAATGAAAAATGGGCACATGCTAATCTATAGCGGAGTGGAAGAAAGTACGCGAGCCAAGGGAGGAGTGGGATGCATATTACACAGAAATTTGACGAAATTAGTACACAGATGGGAAGGGTGGTCTGAAAGAATATTGGAAATCGAGCTGAAAGACCAGAAAGGGCCAATAACCACAATCATCAGTGTATATGGTCCGAATGAAGACGAGAAAGCTGAAAAGAAAGATGAGTTCTGGGAAGAATTAAACAAAGTAACGGAAAATGCTAGAGGGAAGCTGTATATAGCTGGCGACTTCAACAGTAGGGTAGGCAAGAAAGACAGCAAATACAAAACGGTACTAGGGGAACATGGAGAAGAAATACGAAACAATAACGGCAATAGACTATTAGACTTTTGCACTTACAATGGGCTAATTATTACAAACTCGTTTTTCAAACATCGCGACATTCACAAATTCACTAGAGTGCAGAGAACAAGGCAAGAAGAGTCCATCATTGATTACATACTAGCAGAAATAGACAACAGAAGAAACATAAACGACACAAGAGTTTCGAGAAGAGCAGAAATAAATAGTGACCACTATTTGGTAGTATCCAAGATAAAAGGAAAGATCGGAGCAAAACAGGGAGAAGGAGGGAGGAAACAAGAAATACCAGTAGCAGAAACAATTAAATCGTACAAACTAAAAGAACAAAGGTTTGCAGAAGAATTCACTAGGCTACTAGAAGCTGAAATAGAAAGACAAAGTTGCGGGTCTGTGGATAGCAGGGTTGAAGGGATGTGGACAACCTTCAAATGCTTGGTGCTAAGGATAGCAAAGCAGGTATGCGGAACTTGTAGAACAGTTAAGAACAAGAAACAGACAGCTTGGTGGAATGAAGAAAGAAAGGAACAAGTAAGAAACAAGAAAAGAAAATGGAAAAAATATTTGAGTACCAGAACTATCGCGGATTACATGGAATATAAACAACAACGTGAAAGAGTCAAAAGATTAGTCATAGATGCTAAACAGAGAGCTTGGACGGATTTTGGTGAGAAAATAGAGGAAGAAAGTAAAGGCAATCAGAAACTCTTTTTTAAGATGATCAAAACGTTAAGAAAAGGAAAAACCAGAAATACAGTATCAATTAGAAGCAGAGAAGGAGAGATATTAACAACAGACGAAAACATAATGAACAGATGGAAAGAATATTTTCAAGAATTGTTAGAAGAGGCACAAGAAGACTCCGAAGAATTTCCAAGGGCAGTAGGAGAACAGGATGAAGAGGAAAATCTTATCACACTAAACGAAATGATGGAGGCGATACGCAAAATAAAACTAGGAAAGGCACCTGGACATGACAAGATAACGGGAGATATGTTAAAAAACTTAGGAGTAAAAGGCAGACAAATGCTGTTGGATATATTTAATAAAGCGTTCAACGAAGAAACGGTACCAACAGATTGGGACGAGGGATTAGTAGTACCAATATTTAAGAAAGGAGACCCACACGACTGCGGCAATTACCGGGGTAATAATATAATAATAATAATAAGTACGACTCTAAAATTATACGAGCGTATTTTAGAGAGAAGGTTAAGAACGATAATCGAAACAACTCTAAGCGAGCCACAAAACGGATTCAGACCAGGCCGAAGTGTCCAAGACCACATATTCACCATAAAGCAAATTATTCAAAAGACGGCACAAAAGAAAAGTAATGCATGTTTCGCCTTCATAGACTTAGAAAAAGCGTTTGATAAGGTGCCTCGCAAGAAAGTGGGGAAAATTTTGTATGAGAACGCATAAATGGAAAACTAATAAGAGTAGTACAAAGTTTATACCAGAATAGTAAGAATCGTGTCATAAAAGGAAATCAAAAATCAGAAAGCTTTACGACCAAAGCAGGATTGCGGCAGGGAGGAGTCATGAGTCCCCTATTATTCACCATATTTATGGACAACATTATCAAACAGTGTCAAAAAAAGATAAATAAAAAACTACACGTCGGATACAAAAACATGACAAGAATAGAGATTGCAGCATGTGCATTCGCAGACGATATTGTAATTACTGCCAAAAACCAAAAGGACCTTCAAGACAACTTGGACGTTTGGAATAAAATTCTAGCAGAAAATGGAATGAAAATTAATAAAAACAAGACAAAAGTAATGTCAATAGCACAAGAACCACACGAGTTACATATTTACATCGAAGAAGAAAAACTTGAACAGGTGACACACTACACCTACCTTGGCGTACAAATCGACGACAGAGGAAACGAAGAAGGAGAAATTAATGAAAGAATTCAAAAAGCGGCAAGAATGTATTATGCACTAAATAAGAATTTTATTAGCAAGAAAGAAGTATCCAGGAAAACAAAGATGATGGTGTACAAGGTAATATTAGACCAATTCTGACGTATGGCAGCGAATCATGGACGTTAGGGAGAAAAGAACTAGGTAAAATACAGACAATCGACATGAAATATCTGCGAAGAGTGAAGGGAATCACAAGAAGAGACCACATACGGAATGAAGATGTAAGAAAAGAGTTGCAAGTACAGCCGATAACAGAATTCATAGTGAGCAAACAGTTGAGTTGGTGGGGCCACCTGCAGAGAATGAGCGATGGGAGACAAGTTAAGCAAATATGGGAAGCGAAAATCCAACACAAGAGAGGAAGAGGTCGACCAAGGCAGACGTGGGAAGATACGGTTGGAAAGACATTAAAGAAAAGAGGAAAATCCTGGACCGAGAAACCTGGCAAGAGACAGAAAGGAGTGGACAAGATTCGTACATGACAGTGTATAAAATGTATTGTATAGTAATGTAATGTATTTCACCGTACACCTAACGGTAGAACGGTGTCCCATTATATATACATGACATGTTGTGACGAATACTCTACGCATACTTTTCAAACGTACCCTGCTACTTGAATTCATTCATTAATTAAGGCAGTGTTACATGTTTTGCTTAGGTGGTTGGTGTTTTAGTTTGCTTGTGATTACTGATTAACATAGTTTGGGTTTTATTCAAGGCCAAGGTTTTTTCTCAGGTCGCGCTCTTTTTCGCCTTGGTAGTCTGCTTTTGCGAGAGTGCGGCACCTTTAGGTTTTGCTTGCTTTGCTTTTAATGTACCACATCCAAATTCCCGGGTTTTCAGAATAAGTTTATAATAAATAAACTCGCAGACATTACAGCGATTTATTTGAGGGTTCCTGCCCGACTGGGTCCCGAGTCATTGTATTAGCTTCGTGTAACGTAAGGGGGTCCTACCTTAGACGATTCAATAACGTGCCATTCTTTTGTTTGAAATTTGAGCGGGAACCGTGTTTTGATACTGGGATTGCAACGTTGCCACCTTGCCGTGAAATCTGTCATCTTCACTTCGAGGCTGGGGTTGGGTTAAGATCTGTACAAGCATTACACCAAAAACGTAAACAATTATAAACAAAAGGATAACGGTATTAAACATTTCATTCATAACAATGGAGCGACGCGGTCACGACCGCCATTCCTGACAAGATGCCAAACCACGAACTTATAAATTAAAATGGACTGCTAATGCTGAATTAACAAATGAAATTACATGGGGGCCGCCATGATGTGTCACTCACATGGCGCGAAATTCAAACAATAATAAGCAAGCATTAACCCAACATTAACCTCACGTTTTTAAATAAATTATGTCATATGTTTTTGTGGGCTGCAATAGTTTAATAACTTTTAATTATAACTTAATTGAGATTTTATTTCTCACCTTGAAATTGCATGGTTGCAAACTCTCAAAAATGTATGCATCGTCGTAAGTTGTATATACAGAGGGAACTTCTCAGGACCTTGTTTAGCCGGCTTTAGGTTATTAATAAAATGGTCACCAAACTGACTGTCTGTGATCATGCGGTATGACAGAGTTGCCTGCATCAGGGTAAACATTCTGACCCCAATAATGCAATTTTAATTTCAAAGTATATGCACAAGTTTAAGGGTATAATACACATACTTGCATTTCATTAAATTTAAATGATTCTATGTAAGTAGGGGTTCTATGATACGAAAATAAATTATAATGTTCCTAGGGGAGCTAAAGCTGAAAGAAACTACTTCCGTTGGTACTGGGAAAAAAATAGAAGAATCTACTTTCAACGAAAGTGGACAAGTTTCGAAGCATTTTTGAATTTGGATTGCAGTCCCTACCCGTGGCACGAATGAATCTTATTTTGTAATCGGTTCTTATAATGTGGTGAGAGAATAATCGGGAATGAATCAAATAAAAGAAGACTTTTGTGTGTAAGAAATGACAAGAACAAATAAAATATTACGCGGCACACAAGATGTGCCAGGGCACCTTTACGGGACTAAAACCCTGGCTCAACCAAATACATAAATAAATCAACTACAGCCAATAAAATGCAAGAGAAAAGTACTTGAGTAAAACATCTAAATTGTATTAAAAATCAGACTACAAATCAAATGAAAAACAATTTATAAAAAAAAATGACACAAAATAATTCAGTAAAAAACTCATCTAAATACCTGTACGACAATTGACGATAACACACTCCCAAATTACCTAAATAAATTGCATGTACATAGGTACAAGGGTTCTCCCCAGCCTTCGCAAGATAATTTAATTTAACACGAAAAGTAATGCGAGAAGGCCAATGAGCCAATAGCTAGTTTATAGTGAAAATCAATTATCCTCAAAATAGAAATTTTAAATAGAGGACAATGTTAAAAAGAGGGCCCCTACTGCTTTCAAGATGCTAATGAACTGAATCGCACGAGACGAGTAACAACGATACAGCGAAAGAAATGTAAAGGCCTACTCCACTGAGGACAATGAACCATCTCAGTGCCAAACCCGGTCTATCAAATAATGACTTCCTTTTTTAATTAACACTATGCGCGCGCCACGTAATCAGAAAGTAACAGAAAACAATCCCACTGTATTAGGTATTGCCTCCGGAATATAGCAACATCCACTGTTAATCAACACTTCGTCTATAAATACTTAATTACGTAACAATGGCATAATCCCTGTTCACATTTATGCAACATCAGCAAAAATGTAACTGCTATCATTTAATATCAAATTTACAAGAAATCAATTATTGATAGCTAAAAAAAAGAATAAAATGTTACTACCTGTATTTTGTGAAAACTAACCTTCAAAACACTCACCACCAAAATAATCAAAATAATTTTTATCAAAAAACGGGAAGCGTGATGCCTTCCGCGGACCTCGAAAATAAAAACCCAACGTGCTCTTATCCGGCAGCCCGGACTCAGGGCTTCCGAAGGCGGGCTGCTGCAGGGCTTCCTGGCCCTCTTCACCATAAAATTAACGGAGGGTAAAGTTAGGGATGGGAACGCGACAACGGATTTAGGGTGCTGAGGGGGAAGACTGCTCGGCATTTGCCGCGTAATTTCAAAGAATATCTGCGTTATGCGAAGCTACGTTTCTGGGAAAACCCCAGTCGCCTCTTCTTCTTTCACCGAATCCTACTTTCTTCCAATCTGTATATTCTGCCAGATGGTACGGTGATTGGGTTATATAATAATATCATATTTTGTTAGATGTACAGGTGATGTTGCCTAACCAAAAGGTGGTATTATCACAAATATAAAATAACTTCCACCAAAAGAACATTATTTTCCATTTATTCAATTAACAGCTACGTCGAACTTTTTTAAAATAATTTTCTGTACTTCTAACGCTTTTCTAGCCACTCCCTTTTCTTTTATACGCCTTCTTTTATAGACACGCCCCCCGCTTTTAGACGCTTTTTAAATATTTTCTAGCCACGCCCTCTTATTTTAGACGCATTCTAAAGCTTTTATAGCAATTCCCCCCTGTTTTAGACCCCTTCCAAAGCTTTTCTAGGCACGGCTCCTTCTTTTAGGCGCCTTCTAAAGTTTTTATAGCTATTCCGCCACCGTTTAGACACCTTCTAAAGATATTAAGCTTCGCCCCATCTTTTAGACGCCTTCTAAAGCTTCATCACTCACGCCCCCTTCTTTCAGACGCCTTCTAAAGTTTTTATAGCTACTCCTCCTGCTTTTAGACGTCTTCTGTAGCTTTTATAGTTACGCCCCCTTTTTAGACGCCTTCTAAAGCCTTTATCGCCACGCCTCCTTTTTTTAAAAACTTTCATAGCCACGTCCCTTATTTTATTAAAGGCCTTTTAAGGCTTTTATATCCACTCTCCTTTTAGACGCCTTGTAAAGCTTTTATTGCCGCTCCCTCTTAGACGCCTTCAAACGCTGTTATAGCCACGCCCCCTTATTTTGGACGTCTTCTACAGTTTTTCTAGCGACTCCCCCTTCATTATCTTCTAAAAAATTTTATAGGCACTCCCCCTTCTTTTTTTGACGCCTTGTAAGGCGTTTATAGCCACGCCCCTTTTCTTTGGACGCCTTCTAAAGCTTTTATAGATACGCACTCTTCTTTTAGACGCCTTCTATAGTATTTTACATTATTAGCCAGGTAAGTGAGTTTTTACTGGCGATAGGAGAAGTTGACTGGCGAGCCGTTAGGCGAGCCTGTCATCTCCTAGAGCCAGTAAAAACTATTACCTGGCGTATGATGTACAATATTTTATTTGTTACTCATTTGTAAACAATAGTAAACGTAAATAATTAGTTCTTAAATTGATCTTGTAGAAATGTCTAAAATATCATGTGATCCATATGTAACAGAGACTTCGCATTAATTCTGGCCAATGAAATTGCTAGATTACTAACTTGTAACATTTTTACAGGTCTGCTGTCAGTTTTACAAGTCTGCTGTCAGTTTTACAAGTCAGTAGCGTTTAAACATGACGTTTACCCGTTTGCGTTTTGTCTTGTTAATCAACGTTTACAACTGAGAAACAAATATATTTGGTACAGACTGGAAAGTATCGAAGCGGTGATGAGAGTAGGATTTCTCCACATCCGACCGCTGTTTTTCCTAGTTTTGTCGAGGCCGTTGCACATATTCTGAATGAATTAAATTACTCTCTCTAATTCGTTGAGTGTCAACAATTAATAAAATTAATTTAACGGATCCATAGCGTCAATGGCAATATCAAGACCTACTTTTATGTTCCAAACCCTATTGTTCTTTATATGCTTTTTGTGGGATTTTGTTAATTTAATAATTTTTAATTAATAACTTAATTGAGATTTTATTTCCATATTTGAAACCAGCATTACAAAGAAGAACTTAAGTAATTAAGGGTAATTAATTAATTTTACTCTTTCTGGGTTCATGTTCTCCTGGTATTCCAGCAGAGCCATCTACCTTTCAATTCGAAACGATGGAAATTTCGCAGCATTTTTGAATTTGGATGGCAGTCTGCTCGACATGGATGGCACGAATGAACTCCTATGTTGTGTAATCGGTTCTTATAATGTGGTGAGACATAATCGGGAAGGGAATCAAATAAAAGACAGAACTTTTGTGTGTAAGAAATGACAAGAACAAATAAATATATTACGCACACACAAGACCATGCCAGGGAAACCTTCTACGGGACTAAAACCCTGGCACAGACACAAATACATGAAATAAATCACCTACAGCAATAAAATGCAAGAGAAAATACACATTAATAAAACATCTCAAATTGTATGATAAAAATCAGATAATCAAATCAAATGCAATTAAACAAGTTTATAAAAACAAAATACACAAAATCAATTCAGTACAAAAACTCATCAAAATACCTGTACGATCAATTGAGATAACACAACTCGCCAAATACCTAAATAAATTGCATGTACATAGGAAACATAGGGTGTGGCTCTACTCC